CTCTCTCTCCCTCGCTCCCCCCCCACCTCCCTCCCCCACCCTACCTATTGATTACCAGAGCTCCCTGATGGGAATGTGACCAGCTCTATGTGTTGTTGCAGGTTGCTTTAGGAATGATTTTTTTTTGTCATCAGTCACCGTTATTGGTCTGAATTTTAAGATCTTTGTCCTGTTGCTCTGCACATTCGATGGAAAAGTATCAAAACCAGATTTTTGACAGTTTTTTACTTCATTCATGGGACGAGGACATGGCTGGAAGCTTTTCAAATGAAACTGAGGCTTGCTCCCCTTGTCGGAAGACCCTGAAATCACAGAACCCCTACAGGACAGGAGCAGGCCATTCGTTCCATTGAGTTCACAGTGTCCGAACAGCACCCTACACAGACCCACCCCCCATCCTCCCCACCCTACCCTACCCTATCCCTGTAACCCTGCATTCCCCATGGCCAATCCACTAACCTGCACATCTTTGGTCTGTAGGAGGAAACCCACACAGACACGGGGATAATGTGTAAACTCCACACAGTTACAACAGGGGAATGGCCAAATCCCTTATATAGTTAAACCAGAACATAAGCCCCAATCTGTTATGACGGGAATAGGGGTTCCCTTCGAATAATTACCCCTGAAACACCTAGAGAAGCTTGGCTTTCCCCTCATAATCTATTAAAAGAATGGTTAAAAGAAAGAAAATCCCCAATCTCCACTTTATAAGTAACAAGAAACAATTTATTTATTTAACCCAACAGTGAACAAATTAACAACATTTCTAACAAACCAACAATGCCCCCTAACTGCTCCCTAACTGGTCTAAATTCTACTGGAATGCTGCTTAAATAAAGACATGTCCCACTAATATAAACCCAATTAATAAGAAGCAATAAATTATATCTTAATCTTTTTTGAGCAGATTTGTAGCTCAGGTTGTTAATGCAGTTGTAGACTTGCTCGCTGAGCTGGTAAGTTTGTTCACAGACGTTTGGTCACCCTGCTAGGTAACATCATCAGTGCGCCTATGGTGTGAAGCGTTGGTGTTCGGTCCTGCTTGTTATTCATATGTCTCAGTTTGTTAGGGTGGTTGGTATTTACTTCTGGAAAACCGGAAGGTAACGAGCCATCAGGATTCACGAACACCAACTTGCTTCCAAGAGACGTGACCAACTATCACTCATTTCAATACACACGGACACAGAGGGACACCCGTTCGACTGGGGCAACGTGGCCATCCCAGGACAAGCCAACCAAAGACATGCACGAGAATTCTCGGAGGCCTGGGACTCCGACTGGAAATCCATTAACAAACAAGTAGAGCTGGACCCCATACACCAACCACAAAGAAACAAATCTGGAAGTGATGCTGCCCACCCCAGCAAACCGAGACACAAGTGGGACAGAACACCAATGCTTCACCGGGGGTCCATTGACAATGTTACCTGACAGGGTGACAAAATGTTTGCGAACAAACTTACCAGCTCGGCAAGCAAGTCAACAAGCATTATAACTTAATTTCTCCAAGTTCGCACTGCCTGTCTTCTGGAATATTCTGTCATCTCCAGTCTCTTCACAAAACACCTTTCTTCCCCTGAATCTCTCTGTAATATCTCCTGTGAGGACTTTGAGATAACATACTGTGGTACCTTTGATTAATTAGATGGGCTTTCTCTGAGAGCTTATCTCTGTTACCTTGCATTCCCCACAGCTAACCTACCCAGCCTGCACATCCCTGGACACTATGGGCAATTTCCCACGGCCAATCCACCCTAACCTGCACATTTTTGGACTGTGGGAGGAAACTGGAGCACCCGGAGAATCATGTAAACTCCACACAGACAGCTGCCTGAGGGTGGAATTGAACCTGGGTCCCTGACACAGCAGTGCTAACCACTGAGCAACCGTGCTGCCCATATAATTTTTCATGTTTAACGTTTAAACCTGTTTGTTAACTGATATGACACAAAGACCAGACCAGTGAAGGATAACAAATTTGTGCTCAGAAACAACATTAGATGGGGTTTTTATTTACAACAGCCAACAATCATTGTCATTTACTGAGATGACCTTTTATGTCCAGATTTGTTTATTGAATTTAACTTCAATTAATTTGAACCCATGTGCCCAATGCATTAGACTGGGTCCCAGGATTATTAACCCAATGATATCACTGCTGTTCCCCCTGCTCACACTCACTGAGTGTTAATTGTGGAGCTGTCCTACCCTCTGGTGGGTAATCACAGAAGTGCGAGACCTGCTGGTACCACTGCACAACAGGGACCCAGAGGCAGTGCTTAATCTGCAGTCAGATATTTGCATTTGTGGTTAATTCGGAGGAAGTCGTGTGATATTAGCTCAATTTCCTTGTTGCCAAATCGTTAATGAAGCAGTCAATGCAAGGCCTTATCCCAATTTGACCTTACTGCCAAAGAATTGACTCCAGGAAAAGTTTTCACTCGACCCTCACTTAAGTAACATCCCAAACACAATGGACATTTGAGAGGAAACAGGACTGTGCCACTGTTACTGATGAAAAAAGTCAAATAAGTGATAGAATTTAAGGTAAAGAACCAAGCAATATTTGCATTAAAAATATAGAGACTGGAGGGCACACTAGCCTGGGGCAGTGGATTCTAAGCCCGACTACAATGTTACCATCTCCAGATAGACTGAAAGCAGGATGAGGCCATTCAGCCTGCACACCTCTGCTGTCATTCAGAGATAGTAAGAACTGCGGATGCTGGAGTCAGAGATAACACAGTGTGGAGCTGGAGGAACACAGCAGGCCGGGCAGCATCAGAGGAGCAGGAAAGCTTTCATTTTGGATTGGGACCTTTCTTCAGAAAAATCTGCTATCATTCAACTGGAGTATGGCTACTCCAATAGTCTACTCCAATAGCACAAGGGGGAGGCACTGGCCTGGTGGTGCTATCGCTAGACTGTTCACCCAAGGAATGCTTCATTTGACACTTGAGTTCAAATCCCACCACAGCAGGTAGTAGAATTTGAATTCAATAAGAATCTGGTTTATAAAATCAGGAGGGGCACAGATACAGTAAAGAGGCATGGTCTTTTCCCCAGGGTGGACGAGTCCAAAACTAGAGGGCATAGGTTTAAGGTGAGAAGGGAAAATTTAAAAGGGACCTGAGGGACAACTTTTTTCACACAGAGGATGGTGCGTGTATGGAACGAGCTGCCAGAGGATGCAGTGGAAGCTGGTACAATGACAACATTTAAAAGGCATCTGGATGGGTACATGAATAGGAAGGATTTAGAGAGATATGGGCCAAATGCTGGCAAATGGGACTAGATTAATTTAGGATATCTGGTCAGCATGGACAAGTTGGGCCTAAGGATCTGTTTTCACGCTGTATGACTCTCTGACGCTTGTTAATGGGTCAATGGGCTTAGGGGAGGTGATGACCTAGTGGTATTATCACTGGACTGTTAATCCAGAGACCCAGATAATGTTCTGGGGACCCGGGTTCGATTCCTGCCATGGCAGATGGTGGAATTTGAATTCAATATAAAATATCTGGAATTAAGAATCTAATGATGACCATGAATCTGCTGTCGATTGTTGGAAAAACCCATCTGGTTCACTAATGCCCTTTAGGGAAGGAAACTGCCATCCTTACCTGGTCTGGCCTAGATGTGACTCCAGACCCACAGCAATGTGGTTCACTCTGAACTGCCCTCTGGGCAATTAGGGATGGGCAATAAATGCTGCCTGGCCAGCAACACCCTCATCCCGTGAGTGAATAATGAAAAAAAAACCATGGGTTGAGGATGGAGTTGAGGGAGATGGGGAGGTGATGGGGTGTTGGGAGATAGGTTTGGGTGAGGTCCTAGTGGGGTTTGATTGCAAAGACCTTAAAATATAGAGGCAGACTTAGTCCATTCGGCGCATCCAGTCTGCTCCACCATTCAATCATGGCTGATGCGTTTCTCAACCCCATTCTCCTGTCCCCTCCCTTTAACCCTCAATCCCCATATTAATCAAGAACCTGCCTATCTCTGATTTAAGCACACTCAGTGACCTGGCCTCCACAGCCTTCTGCAGCAATGAGTTCCATAAATTCACCTCCCTCTGGCTGAAGAAATTCCTCCTCATCTCAGTTCTAAAGGGTTGTCCCTTCACCGTGAATCTGTGCTCTCGGATCCTAGTCTCTCCTGCTAGTGAAAACATCTCCACATCTGTTCTATCCAGGCCTCTTGGTATTCTGTAAGTTTCGATCAGATTCCTCCTCATTCTTTTAAACTCCATGGAATATAGGCCCAGAGAGACTTCAATCGCTCCTCATAAAACATCCCTCGGATCATCCCTGGGATCATCCTTGTACACTATCTCTCAACCCCCTCCAACACCAGCACATCCTTCCTTAGATACAAGGCCCAAAGACTGCGCACAATATCCCAAAGGGTAAGGATTTTAAACAGGAGTTAAATTCTCAAACCATCCCTGTATTCCTAATCCAATGCGGACCATTGAAAAGTGTCGAGGAATATTTGGCACAACAAGGTGTAGAGCTGGATGAACACAGCAGGCCAAGCAGCATCAGAGGAGCAGGAAAGCTGACGTTTAGGGTCTAGACCCTTCTTCAGAAAAAGAATATTTGGTGTTGTAATTTAGAGTCAACTATTATTTCTGAGCTTGCGGGGATAAGTTAAGAATCAGACAACGTGCTATTTACAACAATAGCTGACAGAGTTGAATTCCTGTGTCCTCCTGTCTCATCCCTCTAGGTAATGAAGATGATATATTCACGTACTGTCAGAATGAAAGTGCCGAGCACTCTGATGACAGTAAGGACCACACAATTGTTGTAATGGGTCACTTGAATCAGAAGATCTCGGTGCGGGTAAAGCCCACCACAGCTGACAAGTCAACACAGACCGAGCTGGACGAACCGGGCATCAGGGCGGTAGCGGATGCTAGGCCCGACGTAGGGGAGGACCCCAAACTCCGGCTGGTTCACCCGGGCAGGCAGCAGAAGGTTGGCAACGAGGACAGGGAGGTGCCAGAGCGTGAACACTGGGTACAGAGTCTACAGGAGGTACAGCAGGTGAGGTTGCAAAGGTGGACGGGAGTCACGAAGCAGTGGGCTGGGAGTAGTGGCAGGGGTGGGGGGGGTAGCGTCTCTGCCGGCTGTGTTCCCAAACTAAACTAGTCCCACCTGCCTGCTCCTGGCCCACATCCCTCCAAACCTTTCCTACTCATGGCCTTACCCTGATGTCTTTTAAATGTTGCATTTTACCAGCATCCACCAGTTCCTCAGGAAATCCACTCCATACCTGAACCACACTCCGTGTGAAAAAGTTGCTCCTTGGGTCCCTTTTATATCTTTCCCCTCTCACTTTAAAAACTTTACACCCTCTAGTATTGAACTCCCCCACTCTGGGGAAAAGATTTTGGCTATTCACCTTATCCATGCCCCTCATGATTCAGTTCGAAATCTATGGATTGATCCAATGTTGATATGCTCGGATCTGAGAAACCATCAGTGGCCCCCTCCTCCAGAGCACTAGGCCCCAAGTCGCTGGGTCACTAGCCCCGATCTCTGGGTCACTAGCCCCGATCTCTGGGTCACTGGGCCCAGTCTATGGGTCACCAGCCCCGATCTCTGGGTCACTAGGCCCAGGTTCTGAGTCACTGGGCCCAGTCTCTGGGTCACTAGCCCGGATCTCTGGGTTACTAGCCCTGATGTCTGAGTCACCGGGCCCAGTCTCTGAGTCACTAGGCCCAGACTCTGTGTCACCGGGCCCAGTCTCTGGGTCACTAGCCCCAGTCTCTGGGTCACTAGCCCCAATCTCTGAGTCACTAGGCCCAGTCTCTGAGTCACTGGGCCCAGTCTCTGAGTCATTAGTGGGTCTCTGGGTTACCAGGCCTGGGTCTCTCGGTCACTGGCCCAGTAGCATTAGCATCCATACAGTTTTGAAGTTGCCTGCCTGCCTCAGACCAGTCGGGCCTTGGTGCTTGACCTCATGCTCTCTGACTATGAATTGACATCATATTGCCTGCCTCAATGACTCTCAATGTTTTCTGACTTTGTTGCAGCAAAGAAACCAGCTGGCTCTGGAGAACAGTGAGCTTCACAAAGTGAAGGCCTACCTGGAGGCTGAGAACAGCAGGCTACAGGATCAGGTGTGTGCCATACAGGAACAATTGGACACTCTCAGACAGCCCACAGTCACCCTCATCCTGGAGCAAATGGATAATCTCCAGGTGGAGCGTGACTCCAAAATATGAACCTGCACCATCGCCCCGTTCTGTCTGGGAGAAGGGGAAGGCAGGGGGAGCAGCACTGTTCAAACTATTAACACACCGACACACAATCACAAGAAACCACGTTTGGGTTTTACTTCATATTTGCTGTGTAGCTTATTGCTGAAGACTGGCGTTACCTCAGAGAACAGGCTGAAGCGACTCTCCGCTCCTTCCCCACCACCCCGCCCTCATCACCTCCCCGTTACCCCCCCCCCCCCGCCATCACTCATCAGGCGGGCAGTCAGACAATGAGAAACAGTCAGGCTCTCCTTCACACTAGGCCTCAGAGACAGCCTCAAGCACTTTCAGCTCAGAGGGAACATGGCCAGTGGCCCTCCTCCCCATTCTCCTCACTAACTACAACAACAACCTGCCCGAATTTTACTTCAGAAGGTGCCCGCCCAACCCCACCCCCTGTGTCAACGCAAACTTGAGGCTCGGTGTCTCTCTTCACTGTCCACGGGTGGAAGTGGAATTTCGTGGATGTCCCTCCGATGGGTGACATCGATCCGTTGGACGCCTGGACTCAATGTTTTGTCCTCTCCAGCTGCACCCACCCACAGGCTCCGGCCTCTGATCGGACTGGGCCTTGAGCCAAGGCTGAACCAAACTCCGGCGCCCGGCACGATCGTTTCCCGGTTCTAACCGTCCGATGGCACCGGTGACCTGGTCCGGCAAGTCGGCGTTTTCCGGATGGATTCCCAATCTCCCGCCCATCCCCCACCTTCAGTCACGTACGAGTGACCAGCCGGGATCGTATTGGATGCAGGATTGAGTTCGAGGAGGTCAACTCGTGATCCCGTATTTCGTTGAATCCACCTGGAGGAAGCGGGGGTGCACTGGGAGGAGTGGCACGTCCTGGCAGAATGGCCGCTCGTGGTGAATGCTGGAAGGAAGGGAGTTTCGCTGGCGATTCTGGACCATCCGATTTACCCAAGCTTTTCCAGCTGCGCCCTATTGGGGCTGACACCGCCCACCTGAGTCATCCTTTGAAGCTGAAGCCCTTGTGTTGCCGGGGGATAACGGGCCCGCGGTTATACCGGGCGTGCGTGAGCTGTTCCCCCCGTGGTCATTTCCATCTTGGGTTCACCGGTGAACCAGCCCAACATGAGAAACCACCCACAGCTCCTCTCTTCCTGTCAACACCTGAAATATATCCCGAGCCTCTCGTCTACAGCGTTTCCTCAAGCTTGGAATAAAAATGTTGGTGATGCTTCATGAAGGAAGTGGAGGAGCCTATTTGTCGTAATGTGGGACTTTCGGAATCTCCTTAAAAAGCAGAGAAGCACTTTGATAAAGTGCCTTTACTCTCGTGCACTTACAGGTCGTTTTGTCACCGTAGCTAGATTTAGCTGAGAGTTCAGGCCATTCCCTTGGGTACTCTGCTACCTCAGTGCAGTGTGGAGGGGGTACTTCACTGCCAGAGGCACTGTTTACTGCACTGCGTGGTGGGCTGCCCATCCAAGGGGGACATAAAACAGCTCCCTGTCACCGCACAGTGTGTGTTACCCAATGTTCATACCTCAACCACTGGAAACCGAGCCGACTGGCCCAGTCAACGAAAAGGTGTGAAGAGACCCCCACCCACCCATCCACATCCGCATCCCGCAGAGATAAACACAGGTTGCCATCCCGGTTATGGTCTTTCCCAGAGTCGCTGAACGTTAAATGTAACTGTGAGCAGTAACCTGCCTGGAAAGATGGAGCCTCGCGTGGGAACAGCAAGGAGTGTACATTTAATTAGCGCCTTGTGATCTCTACCCCGGGGGGAGAGTTAGGACTCAACTGTAGCCATACTGTTTGTACCAAGACTTTTAGATAAAAAGGCAGCTTTGCCAATATTTTGAACCTTTCTTTTGTCCCCTTTTATCTTTTTGGATACCCGGGGTATTGTCTCATGTACCCAGGATCAGGCTTATGGTTGTGATATTGCACTGTTTCCAGGTGGAGAAGGCTCAACAGATTAAATATGATTCTCTGTCACCCTTGTTAACCCGGAAGGCGCCTCCTTGAGGGATTTTGAGCATGAAAATCAGGTCTGGCCCTCCCAGTGCAGAATGATTGCTGGGGGAAACGTTGCGCTGTTGGAGGAGCCATTTTTCCAACAAGGGGTGAAAGCATCTGTAGGGGAGTGTGAAAATCCCAAGGCACCGTTCAGAAGGAAAGCAGAGCAGTGTAGTGTGAATCAACAATACTGAATGAGAGAGAGCCTGTCCATTGTCACCTTGTGAGGAGGGGCTCACTGTGCACACAACGGCCACTGCGTTGTGAGAGTGACATGTGACAGATTTCATTGGCAGGTCATGTGCGTTCGGCTGTGTTTGTGACACACACACACTCTCTCACACACAC